TATAAACACCTGAAATTATGATGAAACTCCCAATAACAAAGTGAATTAAAACAAACAATGACCTTTATTGTAATATATGTCTATTAACATCATAATATTAAATATCTATCATTACAGAAATTAAAGTCCCTTACTATATAAGTTTTTAACTACATAGTTCTATTCTTATGGCATGGCTAAGATTGATATTGATGGAGAACGCTTGAAATAAAGTATAATCTACGTATATATTACTATTTCTTATGTCTTATTCTTTCTACGCATCTATTCCTCATACAAAAAATTAACAATTAAATATAATTATAACGAACTAGATAAAATTAATATCTATATTAATGAATTATATTCAATGAACAAATACAATAGGCGTTTTATTATTGAAAGTTTTCCTAACATGCCAAATAACTGATTTTATTTTTAGTATATTATAAATATAACCACAAAAGTCTACTCATTTAAGATTGCCTTTTACCAAACAGCTGCAACTTTTCTTGAACACGCCTGACGCCTGGATAATCTCATCCCAGGGAATATTCAAAGGTAGTTGTTCTGAGTCAAAGTTGAAAAGGCAATCGACTTTGCACCCGATCTCTGGCTTTGAGAATTTTTCTCACAGTCTTTTATCAAAAGCAAAAGTTAACCAATGGTAGAATAATAAATTATTTGAATTAAAATAAAATAATAACTAAAATAAAATCACTGGAATGATTTGTGCTTATTTTAGAAGAAAATTCAATATGTATTTTAATATGTTTTGGTTATAATATAATGTATGTATTTAAATTATACTACATATTTCTTGATAAAGAGATCACTAACTATTGTTCACGGCTTTGTTCTCATATTAAATTAAATGAAAAGATCTTCAAATTTGATTCATCAAGTAAATTACAGTAATATCAAATGATTACTTTTATTTCAATTATTTCGGAGAAGCATTTACAATTATTTTTTCGAAATTTTCACCATCGATATAATTGCTAGATATTTATGTTGCACTAATTTGAACGTCAAATGTAAATAACACATTGTTTGAATTATTCGATTATTCTGAAATTTTATTATTTCATTGTTTTTTTAATGTTTGTTGAAAATGTTTCTTATTTTGAAACAGTTCATAATGAATAATTTATTACATTAATATACAAATGTTTTAAACATAACCGACCTGTTATATTTTACCATTAGATTAGATTACTTTTACTTTTCTTTGAAAGCTGACGAAATATTGATATAAAATTTCATAATTCAAATAAAATTAAATGATTAAATATAATTACAGGTAAACGAATACGCTTACATTCTTGCATATCTTTTACAAAATATTCTTGTTGGCTTTTAGATTTTTATCGGTAAATATTTTCAATGCTGTAAGAGTGGTCGGTCCAATAAAGAATGTCAGGAAATGTCGTTTTATATTGTGAAGAGTGGAGTACCTTAGAGTATGTCCCGGGAATATATATAAACAACTGAGATGTGTATTTTCTACAAATAATATATAATTCAATATATTTCACTCTATATCAAGTTTCTTATTAACTGTAGTGTATTTTGATGTTCGGTATTTATAAAGTTCTTAGAGATATCACTGAGTACATTAAATTGTAAGACTATATAAAATATCACAGTCATAAGTATAGTTTAGTTGGAAACGATATAATATTATTGAAATTTATAATGAGCCAAACTGTATAACAAATGTTTATGACATTAAAAGCATGTATTAGGCAAAACTAAAAGCGATCTAGTAATATCAAAGTGATTTTCAAATTTAATAATAATGTTATATGCGTTGTGAATTATAATGAAAAACACACGTAAATTGATTCCGCTGGATATTTAATGCTTCAATTAATGGATAAGGATCATTTATATTAATTCGCTGATGCAATCTGTTTGGTGGCGTAATGCCCGCTATAAATAAACCGGTATTACCTGACATCTGCAATAATTAATTATGGCCAAAAAAAGGGTCTTTATCATTTGGCCAATAAAACGTTTCAACCTGTACCTGAAAACATACGGGATAACCGCAGCTCCCGAAACACGTCGCCCTTATACATACATATGATAACATTAATAATATTATTATAAGCATTAAAAGAGTACAGTGTGATGTGCCCGCCGTTGATATGCTTATGATACTCGTAGGTACTTCAAAAGACTTTCAACAATAAATAATTGTGGCCATTAGATTATTATTCTTCATTTCGAGATATTTAATTTTAAACAACGGCTTCTTTACAAACAATCGTCTTCATTCCGTAGCATATAAATCCTAATTTGGACAACCTTTCACGTGATTTACTCCAGCGAGGCTTTTTGATTCAAATGTATCTAATAAAAGTTTCAGTTCTGTGATACGATTTAAGGATTTACTTTCTTTGTTGTTTTATGTTTATGACAATCATAAATTTGTCAATGTTGTAATCCTGAGCCAGTTTATTGCTCGCATCGTTTCGTACGTTCGATAATAATTTGAGTCGTTATCAAATTACACGTCCAATGAGCATTTTCAATGGACTGCTCCGATACTATTTATTATAATTGACGAGAACCAATTTATATTATAATTATGATGTGACATATTTTCAATTGCCAAAAGCGCTTTTCTGATTATTTGTAATTTATAAGCAACATTCTAATACATAAAATAATTTGTAGTTTGATGTTTAAAACATTGAAATATGAGTAGAATTAAATAAAACAACACAGTTTCATTTTATCTAATATTAAACACATTCTCTTGTCAGTAACGACAACATTTACTTTAAAATAGAAATTAAATCAATTCAGTTTAGTCTTGGAAAAACATATGCATATTTTATAAAACTAAATAACATGAAATCCTTTATAGGACGAAGGTATTTTTCCAATACACCTTTTATATAACATATATCGGACTTTCACCCCTATTTCCAATTTCATGACGTATTATATTCTCCTCAATCCAAATATATAGGCGACGGTAATAATGTATCATTTTTATATTCAATATTCGGACTAAGGTCGAGCGAGCCGAATGGACGGTCGCGGCGATGAAACTTTCGATCATTTTAACTATTTATGAAATAAATTGCATATTATTTGAAAATACTTGTCTCCTAAAAAAACCGTATTACGAATCAGTATGTAATGATTTAATTATATAATATATTTTTTATTTTCATTCTAGATATCTGAGAGTATTATATAAATCTATTTATAGACAAATTCTGCGTTCTTTTAATAACGCCTGTGACTGACATAAATTCTGACAGCCCTGACTAATTTTATCAATTATTTAAAAAGAAAATGTAAAAAATTTGTTTGCTCATTTCATCTTTAATGTACCGATGAAATCTGCCGAGTTTTATAAATACATAATAATCATATAACATCGGTTCCGCAACACGACACGGTTCACAATCAAAGGTAGAGCGGTCAAACACCAAATGTTGTCATCTGCCAACACCATCCGTTCCCGACTCAATGGTGACAAGTTTCCGATGTATATGCAAATTATATCACATCAGGCATTCAAATATCATTCTTGTGGTACAATATTAGTGTGCAAATTGCAATGGCACGACCTCCCCCGCCTCGCGACTGTCATACTACGCCTGACAAATGTAGCCGAGTAACACGAGTATTTTGTTTTACATGTTCTTGCTAAGAATCGTCTTTGTGTGTAATGAGGTCGGATGCTATTTTGTACTCGACAATTCCAGTAACTTTAAGATTAAGTTCTGTCTTGAACAGTTAAAGCATGACAGTTATTTCATTCAATTCATACATTGCTATGATACTTGGCTTGAAATTATAAAATTTTGTTACTTTATAACTTGCCGCATACCACAAAGACGTATTAAATGTTTTGAGATACCAAGAAAATTTAAAAAACATTTAATTATTAAAGCATTATAGCTCATATTGATGTTATATAATTAATTATAAATTTTTCGCTAACTCTCTGAAGCAACAAGACAAAGTACTCATATTAAATGTTGAAATCTTAAAGCCAAACACATAACGAGCCAACAATCGACCAAAATTACCACTCGCTCTACTTAATACTTCCTCTTTAATCTCGAACTTTGAAAGAACATATTTAGTCGCCGACAACTTTTAATTAATCAAGTCAAAAGTCACAAAACTGTATCTCGAATCGTGCAGGCATAATGAGCCAAGCTTAGCCCGAGTGCCCAATATCTTTCTGGACTCTGGCCAACTTTTAATGAAGCTCTAGTAAATTTAACACGTCGTGGAATAAGTAGTGAACAAAATAATTTGCCTCCAACATTTATGTTTATATTACAATTGGGTACAACTACAAGTATAAATAAAAGAAATAAACAGAAAGGAAAATTATGCGAACCAACTAACGACCTTACATTAGTTAGTGTATGGCTGCAGCCTGCTTATGAGGGAAAAGTTAAACGGAGGCTATTTATTTTATTGCTAATACTGAAATAAAACTAATAGTATTGCTTTGTAACCTTCATGACATAAAAGATGTATATATAAAAGGTAGAAAACGTTATTCTATTATACTTTTATTTATTATTAGACAATATTTCCATCAAACATATCGATTCCCATCATGAATCTTAATTAATTTAATTTTACTGCTAAAATTGCAAATTAAAATTCAATTTTCCTTAAGCTTCCCCTAATTTAACATATAATTTTGTGAACATTAACATAGCTCCTAGCTGCCGTACTGCCGTGGATCGATCCGAATATATTAACATTAGGACGTTGAATCAATGTCCTCGGAAGAGAATAAGGAGATCTATACTAGCACAATGCAAATATCTATTGAGAGACGCATTATGCTGTATTTGCATGTCGTGATCATAGAACAGTTCTATTTTCATATTGAATATGAAATATTTTATTGAACATCGACGAAATAGAAGCACGGGACAAACATCAAAGGTATATTTCCATAAAAAAAAATCAAATATTTCACGCACCTTGTAGCGAATATTTATCACATCAAAAAACGCTTTTCCAAAATGTATTTTAAATTCGGGTCTGGAAAACAAACTCGTTGCACTAGACGAGAGATTAATTGCTGGTCTAAACAAGGCCAGATCGAGTGTCGAGAGGACAAACACTCAGCTAAAATCAACGTGCGCGATGAAAGGCACGGTGGAAGAGATGCGGGCTGTCAATTAGTTGACGCTATGATACATGCGACTCATTCGACAGAACTCGATGTCAATTTAGAATGCAATGACAAGGAAAATGGATTGTTTGTTAGCGCAACACTCTAATGAGGAGGGCTCGGTTACAAACTGAAGTTTATATATCCAATTATGACATATCATTTTATTCTGATAAAAAAATACATTGCAATTAAAAATGGAGATGATGCGGTTTACGAAACCACAATGCAAGTAATACATTTTATTTATCGTGGATATTTAAAATATTCAGAAAAAATATCACATTTAGTACATACATAATATTTGCGTTTTTCATCTTAAGTTTTCGATCAGTGAATAAAAAAGATAATGTTAAATAAATAGTAAACAGAACATCCAAATATAAAATTACAATGCTAATCTTGATTCGAGGACTGAATCTACAGTTATTCTTATTATTATTAGATAAGAAATACATGTTAAAAACTAACCACAATATGTATTTAAGTAATTAATGAAGACAGAACACCGGAAAACACTTAAACATACGAGTTAGAAAAACTAATACAACAGAAATAATTAAAGAGAATAAGAAAGAAGAAATACTTCCTTCTACTAATACTTCACAGTAGGCAGTAATGCGACATGAGATAGAAAGACAAAAAAAATTAGGCCATGACAACAAGTTCCGCTTTAAATACAAATGACGCGACTAAACCGGTTTGGATGATTTATAATACATAGTACCCAGATTAACCATATCGAAGGATTTAGAACATGAAATGATAGTTGAGTTTACAATTAAATAAATTTTCCTTAAACATAATATGTATACTTGTGCTATTTCATACAAAAATCAGTTTAAGTAATTAAAAATATATTAAAATTATCATCAAATTTTCTTGATATCAGGATAATATGTTATTTTATAAAGTTACGTAAAGTGCCATTATACTTAAAATTATTCTCTGATTTTTCAGATTTATCAACATTATGTCGAAGAAATTAAAAAATATTAGTATATAATAAATACGGTTACAAAATTTGTAAAATATCTGTATTTACGAAATGTATGTACAGTACAGTACAGTACATAATGTACTGTATATACTTCATGAAACGAAAGTAATAAATGACGATGCTAATATATATTATGTAGGAGTGCTACGATATATGTAGGAGTTCGTTGTCTTGTATTTAAATTATTTTTCGAGTTTCATCGTGTTATTTGTTCGTGGTGATAACTAAAACCAAACCTGGTAATGTAACCGTCAGAATGGATTCTATATCAATGCATCGTAATCGTAGCGTCAAATGGACACCTTTGTCTGTCCCACTTTGTGCTTGTCCCAGTTGTATCGTTTGTTGATGGTTTTTCTGCAGCTTTGTGTGGTATTGCCTAGTTCTAATGTACCACAAAGTGATAGCCTTCCTATTGCTTAGAAGCACCCACAAAGCGAAATGCTAATGTGAATTATATGAAACTTTTCTATTTCAGCGTTAATAACGCTGTGTGTAGCGAATTTTCAAATTCTCTGCTTAAATTGAAACTGACCGAAACCATGCGTCAGCGAAACCGCAATCGTTAGTTTGAAACAAATTGTGTCCGTATTTGATAGGATTTCGTATCGCAAAACAATAACCGTCGGCTCCGTCGCTCTGTCGGTCTGTCAGTCAGAAGCAATTGTCGAATTTCCACTTCGGATCAAATTAGAATTCCTTTAAACAATTTATGGAATTTCTTTAGACTTTGAATTTATTGATGGCGTCATGATTTAAGGACTTGAAATGTTTACCGTTTTAATTAAATGTAATTTAATTCAAGTTCAAAGAAATCAGGATTAATGTATTTATTTTAGTGCTTAGAGTTTTCCCACTTGTATTGCGAACGTTGAAGTTTTCTCAGAAATTATTAAGAGGAATTTAAATGATCTAGTAACACGTAAATTAATGTTATATTTTCTGATTTACCATACCGTGTGAACAAACATGTGAGTTACTAAAATACGTTAGTCTAGCTCCTTACTCCTGCTTATTAACGGATTTTGATACAGTTTGTTTTAACAAAAAGCAAGATAAATGGAAGGACTTACAAATAACTTTAGCGAATATTTGATACAACATTTTACTATGTCGAGTTATAAAGACTCCATCTTTCAAAGACAGTAATAGTAACAAATTCAAAGTAATGACGTCAGTAGGCATGCACATATGCTTTGCTTCAGTTTTATTTGAACTACATATATCTTTTGAAGTATTACATAAGTTTTAATACATAAGTCTTCCCAGGCTGAATTAGTTTTTGCGTCAGCTCCAGTCGTATTCTTATGCAGGAACTTAAAATTCCCAAACAAAACTTTTTAGTTTTCAATGCAAAAGTTAGGAATGTCATTGAATCTGTCGTTTATCGCACAATATAACGTCGCGTACACCACTGTCTATTGAAAATAACTTTATAAGAAATAAATTGTTACAACTGGATGATAATGTTTAGTAGATCCACTTCTATAATGAACGTCTTTTAAAAAGACAGATTTTTAAGCATATCATCTGACTTCGAATTGATTATTTTTTTATTTTTTTCTAATTAATCAGTTTTTTTGATTGACTGTAAATAACAAACTTAATTTAAATATAATAGATTATATTATTACATTATACACAAACAGACGCCATTCAAGTATGTCATAAGTTATTTTATAAGAAAATTTTTAATAACTATGTAGATTAGAAATATTCAGAATTTTCAACAACCAAACCTTTGCACAACTTAGATTTAAGCGCTTAAAAGTACATTTTGTAAGCACAATGCATCGGTGCATTGTACTTAGTAACATTTAAGACTAGAGAATGCAATTGTGCTAAGCTTGCTATTGTCTCGTACTCTTAGGTTATTGTGTAATATTTACATAGCATTTATAATGATAGTAACAAATGCAATTAAATTAATAAAAAATAGTTTTTATTCAAACATAATTTTAAGGAAACTTACCAATCTCAAAAAGAAGAAGTTACGGTTGGGTATACCTCGTACCTGAATAAAAGGTTTTCAATCAGTAAGAAATCATCAGTTATTTACAACGTAAGAAGTTTTATGAATGACTTCATTTAACGCGGTTTAAATCCGCAAAAAGAAAAAAACACAATAATACATTATTTATATTAAAATAGAATAGTAACAAAAGAGTTTGTAGATTGTACAACTTAAAAATGTTAAACATCTTCAAGAGCTACGGAGATACAAATTTTCTCATTCTTTGTCATATATTTTAATAAAGTTAGTTGTTTCAAGTATTCGGCGAGACTGTACACATTTAATTTACTTTGTTTTTCTCTCAGTTCGGATTGTTTTCATTAATTGACCGTGTTCTAATCCTATTTATGTAATTGCTAAGCAAATTAACTTAAACAGGGATGCATTTTAAACGAATCTATTGTTGACGTTTTGTTGGCGTTCATTCGTCGTCAACATCGAGAGCGATAAGTGATTAATTATAACAAAGGATTCAGTGAATGGCTTCGTTAACAAAAACGAATTGTCCCTCGATGTAAACAGCTCGATTGTTACTAATTTCATCCCGTTTGGAAATTATTTTTCATGGATTTAATTAAGGATTGAAATGTTTTTAATCACAAAGTTAATGACCTGGTTACCATCTTCACCGCGTCTTTTTAAATAACAAATATTTGAAAAATCATTAGTAATAGTCGAAAATTATGTGTTGTAAACTAAAATTTACTTATTTACTTGTGAAATAGGTATTCAAAAGATGTTTGTTATATTTGATAGACACCAAGTATTCAATGAATCAAATGATCCAAATTACCCTTAGTCCGTATATTTATACAAGTTTAATTTAATATTAAATAATATTAGTACTCGGATCTATTTCACAGTTCATATCGTAAATATCATTATCATTCAAATAGATACTAATTATTAATTAAGGGTTTTGATTCTTACATCGTACTTATTTTCTATTCAAACGATTACATGAACTAAAAATCTTACGTTTCGATAACAGAGTTAAGCTATGTTTAACACAAATCGAAATATAAATTATTTTATTGATATTTGATTGTATATAATTCAGATTAACAGTTATTTTTATATAATGAACTAAAAGTTTACCATTTAAGGAACAATTATCATGTATTTAATTGAATGTGATACAGCTCACAGTCGCGATATGATTCTAAACCCCGATTAGTATCATAAATGGTCACCTCACAGCGAACATATCAGAATATCAATTCGTTTTGTTAATTGTCGTTCCAATCGGACATATGACAGTTACATTTCAACTGACACAGCTGACACAGCTGACACTGCTAGATAGTTCATAGAGTGAATAGATTCATACGAACCAATGATAACTATTGATTATAACAACGTTTATAAATGTTTTCAATCGTTTTAAATTAAATAAAAAATGTATCGTCGTAAGTTAAGAATAAAATATTAATTCTATTATCTTCTTAGATTTGTATATTTTATTTGACAACAAAAAAAATTAAAAATACTTTAGTGTAGAATTTCTTAAATCACTGACAATTTAAATTAAATATCTCGAGTTCAAAGCGAAAAGCAAAATTCTAATTAAAATTAAAATATCTTTAAAAGCGTCCAACGTATTTGGCGTAAGTCTTGGATATTACTTCGAGTTCACTTTGTATTCAACTGGAGTGTAATGTTTGTTTTTAATTGCAACTTAAAATAAAGCTGAGTGCGGCGACATTCTGACTTTATTCAGATTGTTTAAATCATGCTTATTAATAACAAACACGTTACTGGATACTAAAATGGTTACGATTACTACGCATTTAGAATTTGAATTAAAGTTTTAGAAAAAAAACAAATGAACTAAAATGATTATACATAATATATGAATTAATATTCAAATAGACTTTCAAGAATTGAAACTTCATGGACACTTGTAGGAATTTGAACCACACACTTGCCAAATTCAGTGTTGCCCAGAAACATTTTATATATGGATGGATTAAAACACTTTTCAATCAATCAAATCACAGACTTCAGACTTATTTCGGCAGTTTTTTTTTTTAATTCCTAAGTTTATTTATTCAAATTACCATTTATATTCACTCCAGATGCATTCTTGATAATA